GCTACATAGCTGTGGTATTGGAGAGGAAGGTTTTGCTGCTCTGGCTTCAGCTCTGAGATCAAACCCCTCACTCCTGAGAGAACTGAACCTGAGCTCTAATAAACCAGGAGATTCAGGAGTGAAGCTGCTGTCTCATGTACTGGAGGATCCACACTGTAAACTGGAGAAACTACTGTAATTGATTTTTTTTTTCATTTTAGTAAATCTTTTAAAATATTCTATAAAATCCTCTCAGTCATTTTTTTAATCTTCTTTCTTTTTGTTTTTGTTTAATTTGTCTGTTTTCTTACTAATATTTAATAAGAGGCTTACATGAGAAATCACAAAATGTCACCTCTGTGCAGCGTTAAAAAGCCATTTTCATGTGAAGTCTGAACAAAATAAAAACACTCTAGGAATGCAAATTTAACCATAATATAATTGGTTCACAAAACTGCTTTTTAAGCCCTGGTGTCTGCATTGCGTTTGCATGCATGAAATACAACACAGTTGTATAGATGTCACTCCTATAGACACATAAAAATAAACACCCACACTTTCTTACTTACGAGGCTTTTTTGGGATGCACAAGTCATTTTTACCTCATCCTGCATTTATGCGTTTGTTCATTTGTAACCGTGACATGTTGCTCTCTATCTCCCTGCAGGCTGTCTGATTGCAGTATTGGAGAGAAAGGTTTTGCTGTTCTGGCTTCAGCTCTGAGATCAAACTCCTCACACCTGAGAGAACTAAATCTGAGCTCTAATAAACCAGGAAATTCAGGAGTGAAGCTCTCTGACCTGCTAGAGGATCCACAGTGTAATCTAGAGAAACTTCAGTAAGTGATCATTTTATTCCATTTTATTAAATATTTAAGGATTCTATCAAATTCTCTCTCTTGATAATTATATATCTTCTCTCTTTTGTGTTTTGTTTAATTTGTCCATCAGTTCAGATGAAATATATGAGACTAACAAAACACCTCTGTGTAGCTTCAGTGATGCAATAGTTGATAGGGTTGTACCATCAAGTGCTTTAAAATCTTTTTTTCTTTCTATTTTTCTTTCCATTTTTAGTTTTCAGCTGTTGATAACGACTGAAATGAGTACACATGAGTACATATATATATATATATATATATATATATACAGTGGGTACGGAGAGATGGTTCTTTAAAGAACCTATGACTGAATGGTTCTCTGTGGAACTAAAAATGGTTCTTCTATGGCATCGCTTGAAGAACCTTTTGAAGCACCTTTATTTTTAAGAGTGTATGTGGAATGTTTTTTGAATAATTGTGAACATTACATATCATCAAATTAATTACATGGTATACTAATTAACCTAATTAATGGCAAATAATTGGATATCAATATTTGCAGAGAAAAATATCCAAATCTACTTTTTAAATACAATTTAAGGTTGTACATCACTTACTTTAGTTGTTATTGGCCAGATGCTTGGGCACTTTTTTGAGTATTTTTTTTAGCATCAATACTTTCAGTAAAATTATACACATTTTATAATAACTTTTTGTATAATCATGGTAAGGAGAAATTATTTTGGTCAAGCTCAAGCAAATAAATGTAAGCACTTAACATCTTTAAAATTTATATAGTTCAGCATTTTAAATCAGTAGGATCATGATCTTTAGACAAAAGGCACCGAATACCAGGAATGACCTTTTACCTATACCTGTATTAAAGGGGTCATTATTGAGAAATCAAATTTTGCCAGATATGTTGACATATAAGATTGTAATTATATAGAATATATTATATATATCATAACTCTAAACTTCCTTGTTAGCCTAAAATGTGAATATCTGTGATCACAGTCGTATCCAGCATTGAGGTCCCTGATGTCCAGACCTCAGTAGTTTTGCCGAGGTGTATAATAGAAGTTGTGAAATAACTGCGTAACAACAACTGTACTTTGGTGCTGCAAAATATTGTACAACCTAAGATAACAGACTTTCCGAGAGGATGGTCTTAAAGTAAGTAAAAATAAATTAAGCCTGACTAGCAAAGTTTTGCCCTGACTCATCCTTCTGATATATCACTCTAAGCCCTTTTAGTGTATTTTACAGGTGCAAGAGAATTGTTTGTTTAGTTCATCAAGTAGTCATGAAATATGTCACAAAGACAAAAGACACAGAGTAGGCTGCACAATATAAAACATCTCATATTAATATTAATCAAAAGACAGTTTTATTTTTAAAACAAACTGGTCCAAGCCTGGCTAAATCTCAATTTTGGAAACCACTTCCCTCTAGCTATCATAAAAACTGTCTGTCTTTTTGCCTGATAATCCAAACCCCCTTCCAAAGGAGATCACCTCTCCCAATCCTGGCAAATAAAAGCCTCAGAGTGCCAGAGATCATCAGGCTGCTGGACTGGCAGGACCAAGGTGACCACTTTGTCATGATCCTTGAACGTCTCTCTCCCTGTGAGAATTCGTTGACTTCATGAGGTGTCACAGTGACAGCCCTCAACAAAGAGAAAGCATGGCAAGTCATGTGGCAAGTGGTTCATGCTGCACACATGTGCTGCCTCCATGGAGTGCTTCACCATGACATCAAAATGGAGAAACTTTTAATTAACAGGGAACATCAAGTTCATTGACTTCAGATACAAGGACATTCTGAAGAGGTCACCTAACAAGTCAAACTGTGGTATGTATTGTATAATTCATTGTTTCTGTGCTAATCAGTCCAGAACAATCATGTTGTGTCAATGCAAACAAACACATCGGACAAAATCTCTTTCCTCCAGGCACAGCAGCATACTCACCTCCAGAGTGCCATGCCAGGGGGAAGTACTAGCAAATCTTGTGTAGTTTCTTGCTCCTTGGCTTGAGGGAGCAGTATTTGCGTCTGGTGGAACTGCTTCCCAAGGGATTTATATATATTGTCTATTCACGAGTTCACACTTACATATAATAAAAGAGTAAAGGTTATGCGTATTTGGCGTGCTGTCCGAGGGGAGGGCTCCGAGCTCGGAATTTTGGCCCGAACCCAGAGTACCCCCCCTACGGGTTAGGACAGAAATAGTTGTAAGTGCGGAGAAGGGGTGGCGGAGGGATGCTGAAAAAACTGTCAAGGAACAGAGGTAAGTGTGCTGTGTATATATACTAAGGATGTGCATCTCATGACTCAGGCCGATACAATACGCATCTCGATGCATTGCCAACGATACGATACATTAAAGATACATATGAAGCAGCTACCGATGTGATACGATTCACCCCTATTACGATGCAGTGCGATCCGATTTCGATTCGATTCGATTCAACACAATGCGATTTGTTGCAATGGAGAAAATATAACTTTTCATGCCTTAAAGGGGTCATATGATGCGATTTCAAGTTTTCCTTTCTCTTTGGAGTGTTTACAGCCATGCAGCCTTTCTCTCTGGTTTTATGACAGCTGTACCTTTTATAGTTTGCAGAACAGATAGCAGAACATTAGAACATTACAATCTAAAATTGCTCTTTAAAGCATTAAAATAACTAAATTGAAAGTTAAAATCACTGAATTAAAAATGAAAATAAATAATAAAGAAAATGACTATTTTAACTTCTACAAAAAAACACACATTCACTCATTTGAGCTTAGTAATTAGTACTGTACTAGCTTAGAATTGATTTACCCATTACAATAGTCCCTTTACAGTTACTGCTATCATAAAAATACACTTTATATGTAGGTTTAAAATTCTACAAAAGACACATTTAATGTCCAACAACAAATATTTTAGCAAAATGTATATTTTATTCAGAATTATTGTGCTCCTATTCGATTGCGCTCCATCTGTTTAGCGTGCATGTGCGCAGCTGCGCTCGTTCACTCGTGTAAGCCTCACCCACTCCTGACAGCGAAATGGATATGTTTGCATGACTTTCTAACATTTTGTCTCCGTGGTGTTGTGATTCGTCATATTCACGAAGCAGTGGTGATGAAAGAACATGCTTGAGAAACAGTTTAGAGAGGTGTAGCGTCTGGACCAATCAAACACACAATATATATTTTGTTAGCTATATTTAACAAATACTCTGTAACACCCCTCAGTTAACAAGCCATTTGAGGACCTATGGACCCTTCCCCCGAAATGCGTAACACCCCAGGAAGCCGAACAGGCCCCTGGTTCCATGGCAACCAACGCTGATATCACTGGGTTTATTGCCTAGAGGAATGCGAAGCAGGGAAAATCACTGCATGTTCCATAGCAAGAGGCACAATGCACAGTAGAAATGGACTTTTCTACTAATTAATTAATAGGAAAACCTTTCTTTGAATGAACAGTGTATCCTTCAGGTCATGGTGTATGTTGTCTTTGATATTTTTAGACTATACTATGCATGCTTATGATGGAACCCATTCCTGTTATCTGTCTTCTGAATACCGGAGCCTTCTGCCTCCATCTGTGACTCCCCGATGACAAAGCTCCCTTTCTCGTCCACCTCGATGCTAACTGCAGCCAGTAAAGAGGCTGCCCAGAACTGCCTGTCTTGCCTCCTCAATGCCAGTGCTCCCGGTCATGGCTGCCACAATGATTCATGACACAGGAATCCCAAAGTTATATGGTATATTCACGAGTTCACGCTTACATATAATTAGCTGAAGTATGGTAATGCATATTTGGCGTGCTGTCCGGGGAAGGGCTCCAAGCTCGGGAATGACCCGAACATAGAGTACCCCCCAAAAAGCAATTGAGCAAAGGACAGCCGCCAGACTAAGGACCCCCCCCAAAATAAGCACTGAGATCTGGCGGGGGCTGATGTTCAAGACGTCGCCTGGCTGGCAAGCTGGAAGAGCCTACGTACCCCGGTGGGAGCGACTTATGCATTGGAAGGGTAGGCCCTACCCGCTGCTGGTATTGGACTACGTGGTTTGGGGCGCCCAGTCGGGAGGGCTCGAGCCGATGCTCAACAGAAGCAGCTCACAGCGTTGGAACGGGTGAGCCCTATCGGCTGATGGGGGAGGAGCAGCGTGATTGTATAGCCCGACCAGGAGGGCCCGAGTTGCCTCGACTGGAACAGCTCACGGTGTCGGCTTACAGGCTCTACTGGCTGACAAACCACTGCTGATCAGTGGGCAGAGGGCAAATGGCTGACCGAGAGGGCCCATGAAGCCTCCTCTTGGAGATCACTACTCAGGACGGCGGACGTGTGGGTCCTTTCAGTTTGGCAAGGTAAAAAGGCTTTGGGCCGTCTGGCAAGGAGGACTCTCACGACATCCGACGGGAGATCAAGACTCACTGCATCAGATGGGTAAGCCTTGCCGGGCGGGGAGAGAAAAGGAAAACCTGACTGGGAGAGCTCTCACGGCATCCGATGGGAGATCAAGACTCAGGACATCGAACGGGTAAGCCTTGCCAGGTGGGGGGAAAAGACGTGAGGTTAGCCGAGAGGGCTCGGACAGCGTTCGGCGGGAGGTCAAGACTCATGGTATTGGACGGCTGAGCCTCGCCGACCGTTGAACGGAAAGGTAAAGGTGTGTGGCCGGGAGACTCTCGCCGGCATCCGACGGGAGCTCGATACTCACGGCATTGGACAGGTAAGTCTTTGCCGACCGTAGAATGAAAAAGTCTCAATTTCACAGTAGACACTTGTATTATAAGAAATACTGAAAACTTTTGTAGAATTGTGTTCTGCTGAGGAGGGGGTTCCTCTTTAAGGGTCTGTGGGAATGTTTATCTATCTCCAGCCAGGTGTGACCCTGGATCACAGAACCTAACAAACCAAAAGATCTTTTATGTTTTTACAACTGATTTGAAGATTTCTTTGTTTTTCTGATTTGGGTATATAAGGATAGTGACAAAACACTACTTTGGGGATTCTGTAGTCAGAAAAACCCCCATGCAGTGTGTGAGAGTCTCTGGAGCTCTGCACCAGAACTCTCGCTGCTGTGTCTCTCTGCTGTCAGGTATGATTCAAAAATGTAATTGTGTTAAACACATTGTGCCCATAGAGTACACTGTATAGTCTTTTGTGCTACTACATGTGCACATAGGCTAGTTAAAGCTGCAGTCTGTACGTTTTGCCTCTTTGTCGCCAACTCTGTTTGAAAACCTGGAATTGCAGCTTGGTGCGGAATTATCTAGCTTGCGTGGGTTGTGAGTCGGCACGGCTCCAGCGCGGATTAATCTAATGTTCTGAAGAGTAGGCTATGTGTGGCAGTCAGTCACCGCACTGGTGTGGATATTCACTGTACTTCGCAATCACAGATTCTAGCCTA